TCAGAGCGCGCCTCGGGCCTCACCCTCATTTTCCCGTTCTTTGGAAAAAGGGAGGAGGGGCGGGGGCTCTAAATGCCAAAACAAAAGCAGCGCCGCGAGTGTCGCTTTACGACGCATTCACGTCACGCCGAGGGCAGAAAAAAAAGAATGAGTAATGACAGGCTCGTCATGTAGTAAACAGAGACGCCTAGGAGTCTTTTTCCAAGAAGGCTGCAGCTGCGCCGCGCAGTGGGCCAGAAGACGGGCGCCGGCGGCTAAAACTCTAGACGCGTTTTGAGCTCCAGAGTCGCCAAACAGAGGACTGGAACCGAGCGTGTGACCCCCACCGATGGATTCCTCGTCCGGAGTGCAATCCATTTGGTGGGATCACACGATCGGTTCTAGTCTCATTTAGCGACCCTAGACCTCAACACGCATCTCGAGTTTTGGCCGCCTGCGCCGGTCTTCTGGCCCACTGTGCGCAGGGGCAGGATCGGCAGCGGGATTTAATCTCGCCACTCTCTACTTTGGCTCTTTCTTCGACATAGCGACGAGACGGACTGGTCGAATTCTCTTCAGGACAAAAGCGTCGCACCGTCGCCGCCTCACGGCGGTCAGCGGGGCGAGGAGGGGCAGCATTGCACAAGGTTAGGTTGGCAGAGGGGGGGAGGGGGGGGGCAATCGCGTGAGCCGCGAATCCATACCAGATTAAACACTTGAGCCCGGGCATTCCTCGTCCTCCTCGCCTAGAAGCTCGCCGCGACGGCCATGCATGCGTACACGGCGGTGCCCCACCTCGCCGACGATGGCTCATAATGATAATGATTACAGCCTCGATGACGGCGGCGTGGCACGGCACTGCAAGGCACTGCACGCACTGATACTTCATCGGCGGTGTCCGGGGCGAGACAGTCAGTCACTCGCTAAAGCCGCGCTTTAATTCCTGGGGGCTCGTTTCAATAAGGTCAGGACCCACATCCTGTTCCAGTGGAGTGGAGGCCGAGGCGGCGCGCCGCCGTGGTGCCGGAGACCTCAACGCCGGTGGGGCTCGCAGTGCAGACTGATTCCGAGAGTCGCTCTCGGCGCTCCGTCTCGCTCGCGCTCGTGGGGCGTTCCGTTTGGGCGCGAGAGAGACAGAGCGACGAAAGCGACTCTCGGCAGCAGTCTGCTGGGCCGATGATAACAAAAGGCGGGGCGGCCGTCGATCGGGGCGGCATGTCGCTCACTTTCCCGCCGGCGCACAACACGCCCGCCAAAAGCCCTCCTCATTGTGTTGCCGCTGCACTGCTCGACTTGACGTCCCGCACCGCGTGTCGACCGTCCATGGCGTTGCGTCGATTGTTTCAGCTTCATGACTCTCACGGGCGGGGCACAGTGGGCCAGAAGACCGGAGGAGGCGGTCAAAACCCCGGACGGGTTTTGAGCTGCATAGTCGCTAAATGGGACTCGAACCGAACGCGTGACCCCACCAATGGATTGCTCTCCGAACGAGGAATCCATTGATGGGGCCACACGTTTGGTTCGAGTCCTGTTTAGCGACTCTGGAGCTCAAAACGCGTCTGGAGTTTTGGTCGCCGGCGCCCGGTCTTCCGGCCCACTGTGCGGGGTCCGGAACTCAGGCAGTCCGGGGGAAGACCTCCGTATCTCTTTCTAGCCGGCCTGATCCAGTCGACGGGCTGTGTCTGATAGGCTGAAGAGTGGCTATGTGTCTTCTCTGCGCGTCTCGGACCGGAGCGCCCGGCGGGTAGGCAGGCCCGCCGCGCAGAGGTGCGTCGCGGCGCTGCCTATGCGGCGGTGGTCGGGCGGCTGGCTGGCTGTCGTTTTCGTCGCTGTCTCTGTCGCACTCACGGCGCGTGCCGTGGTTCCGTGCAGGTGCGAGTGAGGCGACACGCTTCGAATCAGTGTGCTGCTCGCGCGCTGCGCAACGAGTCTCGCTGGAGTAAAAATAATGAGGACCGCGTCAAAGGGACTCGACGGCGTGCTGACAGCCGCACCGCGCCGCGCGGCTCGTGCCGCCGCCAGGCCGCCACCGGACTCCAATGAATCGGACCGGCTCTGTCTCTGTCTCTCTCGCACTCATGGGGCGTCCCCATGCCGGTGCGAGAGAGACAGAGCGACGACGGAGCACTCGGCGGCCGGCAGCCGGTTTCGCGGTCCTCGGCGACGTCGTCAGTCGTTTCTCGGCGGCACGCCCCCCCAACGACGGCGACCTGGATCCTGGCGCGCGGGTTTTCGCCCCCAACCGCCAATACCGCCGCGATGCAAATACAAAAGCCGAGCGGGAATTACCCCGCCGTGGACGGCGGCCTCGCCCTGCGCCCCCCGCCCCTCCGCCCCTCCGCCCCGCCGTCACGACGCACGACACGCCAATTTTCTGTGCCTTCGATAGATCGATCTGCGCTGGCATTATTTTGCACGCGTTTGTGTTGTTCTTTCGATAGAATCGACGCGCGTCGCCGCGCCTTGCTGCACCTCGCTGCACTTCGTGGACGGGACCACCGCCTTCGCACAATTACACCCTCCAGTTCGATGGCGATAGAGCGGCGGCGCGTGGAGGAGCCCGGCGACCCGCCGACCTCACCGAGCAGCGCTCTGTCCCTCTCGCACTCACGCGGCGTACCGTCGGGGCGCGAGAGAGACAGAGCGACGAAGCACAGTTCGGAGTCTGTGCCGGCCTGTCAGCTCGCTTCCAGTATCGCGCTCGCGCTGTCCCAATAAATAATGGCGGCTGTAGCCGCCCCCTCCAGCGGCTGGTTCCGAAGCGCTCTGCTCACTCTGTCTCTCTCGCACTCACGGGGCATCCCGCTGGGGCGTGAGGGAGACAGAGCGACGAGGCGCTCTTCGGATCCAAAGTGCAGCCGCGGTGGTCCCCGCCCACGCAGTGCCTTCCTGGCGGCCCACTGTGCGGCCACCACGCTTTTGCAAAAGCGAGACAGAAACAAAAGCTTTAACACGATGTCTTGCATTCAGGCGGCCGACGCCGACAGCCGACACTCTACACCGTGACGCGCCGAAATTCGCCCGGGCGGCCGAACGCGTCCCGTCATAGTCTTACATGAGCGTGGCCCTAAAGTGTAACGCACACTCTGCTCGGCGTCGCTCCGTCTCTCTCGCACCCCCACGGGACGCCCCATGAGCGAGTGCGACGGAGACAATCCGTTTGGTGTTCGAGGAGAGCGCGATAGGACGCGACTTGCTGGGAACCGCCTCGCGCTAATAAAGCGGGGCGGATCGCCACGGGCGGTGCGGCAGACCGATCCCGAGAGTCGTTTTCGTCGCTCTGTCTCTCTCGCACTCATAGGGCGTCCCGTATGGGTGCGAGAGAGACAGAGCGACGAAAACGACTCTCGGGATCAGTCTGCAGTGTCGGCGTTCACTTTGCGGGGAACGGCTTTGCTCTGCCGGCAGGAGGCAGCGAACCAGCACCGAAAAGCGTTACTTCCCTAACCCGATAGCACTGCTCTGCTCGCCCACAGCGCGGGCTGCGCCGGGCGGGGCTGTCATTGCAAAACAATCCCCAGGGTGTAGAGCAGCGAGCAATGCCTCGCAGTATCATAGCGAGGCACCCAAACAAGTTCGCTCCGAGAACAACGCCACCACAAAAAAATTCCGCCTCCTATGTTGTTGCGTGCTGATTGAGGATTTTACTTTTGACTTTACGAGGGCCGTAACGACGCTAGCGGGCCGAATCCGAACTGCGTCGCTGCGTCTCTGTCGCACTCGTACGGACCGCCCCTCGAGTGCGAGAGAGACGGAGCGACGACAGCACACTGTTCGGCATGCTGCGCGCCGCGCCCTCCAAGGAGGCCCTCGTGCCGCACGCAGCGACGCAGCGCGTCCCAATCCTTGATATTTCCAGCTACACTGCAGACTGACTCCGAGAGTAGGTCTCGTCGCTCTGTCTCTCTCGCACCAGCAGGGGGCGCCCCATGAGTGCGAGAGAGACAGAGCGACGAGGACGACTCGCGGAGTCGGTCTGCCGTTACGGCCGCCATCCCCCGTTTTTCGCCATCCAGATAGCCGGGCAAATTAGTGGGCCGCTTCGCCTGTCGAGTGATTCCGCCGCCCGCACCTCTCGCTGTCTCTCTCGCACTCACCAAGTGAGTCGCAGGCGTGCGACAGCGAGAAGTGTGCTGCCGCCCGTCGGACGCCTCGTGGCTCGCAGTGCATGCACGGTCAGAAAAATGTCCGTTATTTTACGAATAAAAATCCGATTAAGTGTTATACGTTACCACGAATCTCATTTACGGACGCCAGGAGGTCCCAGGCAGGTCTCGGCAGGTCCCAGAGATAAGTCCCCGATTGGTCGCTGGAGGTCACACGCCGGTCCCTTTTGCGTCCCTGCTAGGTCCCGGATGGGTCCTCGCGGGGTCCCACCGCGTCCATAGAGGTCCCCACCAGGTCCCTAATGGTCCTTCAGGGTCCCGATTAGGTCCTGCAGGGTCCCAAACGGGTCCCCCAGGGTCCCGATTAGGTCCCAAATGGGTCACCCAGGGTCCCCCCGGGTCCCGAATGGGTCCCCCAGGATCCGGAATGGGTCCCCCAGGGTCTCGAATGGGTCCCCCAGGGTCCCGAATGGGTCCCCTAGAGTCCCTAATAGGTCCCCCTGGGTCCCGAATGGGTCCCCCAGGGTCCCGAGTGGATCCACCAGGGTCCCGAATAGGTCCCCTAGGGTCCCGAAGGCATCCCCCAGGGTCCCAAACGGGTCCCCCAGGGTCCCAAACGGGTCCCCCAGGGTCCAAAATGGGTCCCCTAGGGTCCAAAATGGGTCCCCCAGGGTCCCGAATGGGTCCCGAATGGGTCCCGAATGGGTCCCCCAGGGTCCCGAATGGGTCCCCCAGCGTCCCGAATGGGTCCCCCAGCGTCCCAAATGGGTCCCCAAGGGTCCCTGGTGGGTCCCTCAGGAACCCGAATGGGTCCCCTACGGTCCCAAATGGGTCCCCTAGGGTCCCTATGGGTCCCCTAGGGTCCCTATGGGTCCCCTAGGGTCCCTATGAGTCCCCTAGGGTCCCTATGGGTCCCTATGGGTCCCCAGGGTCCCTATGAGTTTGAGACCCTGGTAGACCCATTTGGGACCTTGGGACAACGAATGGGACCTTGGGGGACCCATTTGAACCTTTGGAGATCCATTTGGGCCCCTGGGGGACCCATTCGGGTCCCTCGGGGACCCATTGGGGACCATCGGGGACCCATTCGGGACCCTCGGGGACCCATTCGGGACCCTCGGGGACCCATTCGGGACCCTCGGGGACCCATTTGGGACCCTCGGGGACCCATCCGGGACCCTTGCAGACCCATCCGGGACCCTTGGGGACCCATCCGGGACCCTTGGGGACCCATCCGGGACCTTGGGGACCCATTTGGGACCGTCGAGGACCCATTTGGGACCCATTCGGGACCCTTGGGGACCCATCTGGGACCCTTGGCGACCCATCCGGGACCCTTCGGGACCCGTCCGGGACCATTGGGGACCCATCCGGGACCCTTGGGGACCCATCCGGGACCCGTGGGGACCCACCTGGGACCTTGGGGACCCATTTGGGACACTCGGGGACCCATTTGGGACCCTGGGGGACCCATCCGGACCCTTGGGGACCCATCCGGACCCTTGGGGACCCATCCGGGACCCTCGGGGACCCATCCGGGACCCTTGGGGACCCATTCGGTACCCTGGGGAACCCATTCGGTACCCTGGGGAACCCGTTGGTGACCCTGGGGAACCCGTTGGTGACGATGGGGAACCCGTTGGTGACCCGTTGAGGACCCATGGGGGACCCATTGGGGACCCGTTAGGGACCCATGGGGGACCCGTTGGGGACCCGTTCGGGACCCGTTGGGGACCCGTTGGGGACCTTGGGGGACCCGTTGGGGACCTTGGGCGACCCGTTGTGGACCCTGGGGGATCCGTGTGGGGACCTATCAGGGACGCAGCGAGACCTCGTTGGGACCTGTTTAGGAATTGAGTAAAGACACGCCATTTAATTTCAAAACTCTTACAATACTTACTTCATCTCCCAACTCGAGAAAGTGTTACGACTAGGTCACCATCTTGTCAAATATAATTTCCAACCGTCGTCGAAACCGGGATGTAAGTCTGTGAAAACGACACTAGCGCCATCTAGCGGATAACTAGTTATCGAGGACTTGGCGGGGACCGATTGGGACCTAAGGGGACCTGGCTGGTACCGATTGGGACCTAAGGGGACCCAGCGGGGATCTTTCAGGGACCCAGCGAGACCTAATGGAGACGTGACGGAATCTAGTGTAACTTTCTGGGCCCGAGTTAGGACTGACTCAGGGACCACTCGCGACCGTGTGGGACCCACAAGGACTCAGTGAGACCCACCGGAGACGCGACGGGACCAAGTGTAACTCGCTGGAACCCAGTCGGGACCGACTCAGGGACCACTCGCGACTTGGTGGGACCCACAGGGACTCAGCGAGACTCAGCGTGACCCACCGGGGACGCGACGGGACCGAGTGGAACTCGCTGGGACCCAGTTGGGACTGACTCTGGGACCACTTGCGACCGGGTGGGACCCACAGGGACTCAGCGAGACCCAGCGCGACCCACCGGGGACGCGACGGGACCGAGTGGAACTCGCTGGGACCCAGTTGGGACTGACTCTGGGACCACTTGCGACTGGGTGGGACCCACAGGGACTCAGCGAGACTCAGCGCGACCCACCGGGGACGCGACGGGACCGAGTGGAACTCGCTGGGACCCAGTTGGGACTGACTCTGGGACCACTTGCGACCGGGTGGGACCCACAGGGACTCAGCGAGACCCAGCGCGACCCACCGGGGACGCGACGGGACCGAGTGGAACTCGCTGGGACCCAGTTGGGACACTCGGGACCATTGCGACGGTGGACCCACAGGGACTCAGCGAGACTCAGCGCGACCCACCGGGGACGCGACGGGACCGAGTGGAACTCGCTGGGACCCAGTTGGGACTGACTCCGGGACCACTCGCGACCGTGTAGGACCCACAGGGACTCAGCGAGACCCAGCGCGACCCACCGGGGACGCGACGTGACCAAGCAGAACGCTTAGGGACCCCGTTGCGACCCACTCAGGGACCGCACGCGACCTGATGGGACCCACAGGGACTCCAGTGGGACGCATCGGGACCCGTTGGAGACCCAAGGGGACCCGAAATTACGATTTGTGGCCGTAAATGTTGCAGAATTACGAATTACGGACGTGATTCGTAGAGAATTTATCGTTAAATGGCAGTAAAAGTACGAATTTTTCTGACCGTGCAGCGGCGCGCGCCACGCGGCCGTGATCTGCACGCGTGTGCTCCTCGGTGTTTTGTTGCTCCGTCTCTCTCGCACTCGCAGCCTCACCGAGGGGCCCCACCGCACGCCCTGCGAGTGCGAGAGAGACGGAGACACGCGACACGTCGAGCGCCATTGTGGCGCACCGCGACTTATCGCTGCGCGGTGCTGCGCGTTGCACAGTGGGCCAGAAGACCGGTGGAAGCGGCAAAAATTCTAGGCGCATTTTGAGCTCCAGAGTCGCTAAGTCGGACTCGAACCGAACGTGTGACCCCATCGCTAGATTGCTCTCCGAACGAGGAATCCATTGGTGGGGTCACACTTTCGATTCGAGTCCTATTTAGCGTCTTTAAAGCTCAAAACGCGTCTAGAATTTTGGCCGCCTCCACCGGTTTTCTGGCCCACTGTGCGGCGCGGCCCAAGCCAAAACGGCCACGTTAATGATTTCGCCGCGGTCACCGCGCCTCGCCTCGCCTCGCCTCGCGGTGCGCCGTTGCGTCGCGTTGCGTCCACCGCACTCAATAGTCTACTTAATTTAAATAAATGCGGCGCCGCGGCCGACACGAGAGCGATGGCTTCGGGGGATGTGTTTAGGTCCAGCAGCCCCCTCCCCTCTCGCGGCCCGCCCGTCTGTCCGCCAGGGGACTGACGCCGAACAACAGCGCTTCGTCGCTCTGTCTCTCTCGCACCCCAACGGCACGGCCCGTGAGTGCGAGAGAGACAGAGCGATCACGGCGCTGTTCGAAACCGCTCTCCGGCGGTAAGGATAGTCATTGCCCGGCGCGGCGCGCGGTCGTCAACGTCACGGACCCCTACACTACAACTGCAGCGAGACGCAGCGCGCAGCGGACGGATTCCGAGAGTCGTTTTCGTCGCTCTGCCTCGCTCGCAACTATACGGGACGTCCCATGAGTGCGAGAGAGACAGAGCGGCGAAAACGACCCTCGGAATCTGTCTGCAGTCCAGCTGGCCCGGCGCACCGCGCCTCGGCGAGGTCCTTGCCGCCGCGTCCTTGGCCGCGAGCAGGAACTGGGCCAGCTCGGCCAGCGCGTGGGGGGGGGAGGGGGAGGGGGAGGGTGGGAGGGTCGAGGGAGGCGCGGCGATACGGTCGGACCGGCGATTCGGCAAAGCGGGCAAAGCCTCGGCAAAGCTGATTGAAAACGGATTCGGCGCGTCAAAGCCGAGACAATAGTCGGCCGGGCCGCCGGGGGGCGATTTGCCGATGGCCGCCAGTGGCGCGGCGGCCCCGCCCAGTACATCGCATAACCAGGCACAACGCGCGCGGGATGCTTCCGAAAAGCGCTCTCTGTCTGTCCGTCTGTCTGTCTGTCTGTCTGTCTGTTTGTCTATCAAACAAAATGTAAAAACGGCATTCACCACTTACATCAAAACCTCAAGAAGCATAAAAACAGCATGCTCATTGTACCAAATTGACTCTAGTCCTACATCATCCCAATGATTGTCAATTCAAATCCCCCCAATAAAACATTTTTATAAACTAAACTCTCTCTCTCTCTGTCTCTGTCTGTGTCTCTGTCTCTGTCTCTCTGTCTCTCTCGCGCTCTCTCTGTCTCTCTCCCTCCCTCTCTCTCTCTCTCTCTCTCTCTCTCTCTCTCTCTCTCTCCTTTCATCGCACCCGTGCCGGTCCGCCACATGAGAGCGAGAGAGACGGAGCTCACTGTTCGGAATCTGGCCGCTGTTTGCTCGAGACGCAGTGTAGGGGTTACGACTGACACCGCTCCGGCTATGGCCGCTGTGGCACTGAGCGGCCCCGCCGCGGGCAGCCCGGCAGCAGACTGATCCCGAAGAACCATTTTGTCGCTCTGTCTTCGTCGCACTCTAGGGGTGCCCCGTAGGGGTGCGATAGAGACAGAGCGACGATGTGGTCCTTTGGAACCAGCCGGCTGGCAGTGGCGAAGCAAGCGAAGCAACGCCCCTTTCCTCCCGAGGGACTTCTGTCCCTGCACCCCGGCCCGGGTCCCCCCTCCCCCCCCCCCCCCCCCGGCCCGGGTCCCCCCCTCCCCCCGATCAAGTCCCCCCCCCCGCCCCCTTGCCACGCCGACTAGACCACGTGAGCGGACGCGGCGCTTAGATTAATTTTGAAATAAAGAATCATTGAAATGAACCCGAATGGAATTAGTGCGTCCGAGACCGGCCTAATACGGCCATCGAGCTTGACGAACGGCGGGCCGCATGACCCGCAAGCAGCGGACTGATTTCCGAGAGTCGTTTTCGTCGCTCTGTCTCTCTCGCACCTGTAGGCGCCGCGCCGCACGAGCGCGAGAGAGACGGCGCGACGTAAACGACTCTCGGAGTCGGTCCGCAGCAAGGAGCACGGCAAGGAGCACGGTGTAGAGACAATTTGTCTGTCCCATCGTGATAAACGGGGCGATCGCAGCACCAATCGCCGCAATCAAAACGGCGACGACCGCGCCGCCGGGGCCCCGCAGTGCGCCGCGGTGCGTATAGGCCTCTAGCAGTGTGGTGGCGCAGTGCGTATAGGCCGTGTATGCACGCATGTCCCTCTAACTGAACAGACCCGAGCATTTTTTATTGTTGTTGATTTTTTCCTCCCCTCCCCTCTCTTGCGTTTCGCGTGTGGCCAGTCGGCTCGCGCTGTGCAGCACTCACTGCTTTATCCCGCCTGACCCGGCCGGCCCGGCCAGGCTTGTGTTGCGAGAGGTCCGCTCTGAGCAGAATGCAGTCACATTCATTAATTTGTATCGACTGTATCGGTGCGGCGCGGCGGCGCGCTGCACGCACGCATAGGTCGTCCAGATGGAGATCAAGGGGGGCGGTCAGGTGTGGGCCGCGGCCAGAGGGACCACCGGGCGAGGAGGAGGCACACTGCGCAGTGGCCAGCAGAAGACCAGGGAGGCGGTCAAAATCCCGAACGCGTTTTGGGCTCCAGCGTCGCTAAACAGAACTAGAACCTAGCGTGTCACCTCACCAATGCGACACCTGTAAGGAAAAGGCACGCAGTAGCGGCCGCGCGATCCAAAAGGCGCTCAGTTGCGGCCCTGCGATCTGAAAGGCACGCAGTATGCCGCGCGCGATCCAAAAGGCACTCAGTTTGCCCCGCGCGATCCAAAAGACACGCAGTTTACCGGCCGCCAGCGGTAAACTGCGTGTCTTTTGGATCGCGCGGGGCAAACTGAGTGCCTTTTGGATCGCGCGCTGCAAACTGCGTGCCTTTCAGATCGCAGGGCCGCAACTGAGCGCCTTTTGGATCGCGCGGCCGCTACTGCGTGCCTTTTCCTTACAGGTGTCGAGGATTGCTCTCCGAACGAGGAATCCATTGGTGGGGTCACACGTTCGGTTCGAGTCCTGCTTAGCGACTCTGGAGCTCAAAACGCGTCCGAGATTTCGACCGCCTCCACCGGTCTTCTGGCCCACTGCGCATTGGTGGGGTCATGTGCGGAAGAGCGGAAGGGGAAGCGGCTCCAGAGTCGCGCTGCCGGCCGTCACCTTCGGAACGAAAGCCA